CAGCCCCGCCTCTTAGCCGCAGCGTGGCTGCGGCGGGCCAACTTGTTATCTGTTAATGGTCAAAATAGACTAATACCTCTGCTTGCCTCTATAGAGTCGTGGCCGAGTGTGTGGTATTAGTCGTTTTGATCTTGAAATTTAATTCGGGGATTAATTAAGAAGAATTCTTGAGATAATATCACCGAATACCCATAAATGAAAATGGTATATAGATGTAAAATTTGTGGACTAGTCTAAACGCCTTGAAGAGGAGTGGCCAGTAAAGCCAGGCGTGGTTCAGTCCGACTACGCTTGGTGATCAAACTTTAATCATCAAGAACATTTAACTACCTCAAATTACCCTCATTGTGTAGTCCTTTTCAACCCCAACCCCTGTAACGGGAGGAAAGGCAACGGGAATTAGAGAGACCAAGCGAGCTCAGTTCAAGCGTGATTTCCTGATTCACGAAGTTCCCTTTGCCACAGTTAAGGGGTAAAAGGTCGCTTGTACTGCGAAAAATAACTTATTTATTGGCTAAGTATCTACTGGATGGCGACTAAAGTTCACGGCACTTGTGTACGCAACCCCCTTGTTTAGGAGAGTTAGGAAGTTATACGGGAGTCTTTGCTTGATTAGGCCATAAGATTAGAGGTCTGTGACATTCTATGCTGTATGAATCAAGTTGCCACACTCAGTTTACCCCTGTGATGCGTATGGAGAGGTCAAGTTTGGCCATTCGCTGAACAGGGACGGTTTTCAGTTGCTCCTAGTGTAGGGTGCGAATGGGGACTGCTTTAACCTTTCGCCCGTGCCCCGTGTGGTCTACAAACTGGGTCCATTTCCAACTGCCCCATGTGCAGCCTGTAAATAAGAATCGTGATTTTATTTCAATTAATCGGCTGCATCAGTTTATTCCTCTTCAGTCTCTGTTCTTGTAGGAGATTGAGATACAACGATAACCTGTCTTTTATTATGTGTAACCTAGGCTACCAGAGTGGCCCGGGATCACTTGCCCGGCCGGGCCAAAAAAAAATTAAATAATAAAATAAACTCGGTAAATTTCGATGTGACCATGACGCAAAAGTTGTTCAGTTTATTTTTCTGCATAACGTAGTTTTTTTGCATTTTTTAAAATTTTTATTGTTTTTCGTTTGCTGAGACCTACTTTGGCCCTTGCACGGCCGGGTAGCCCGGGAAAACAAGGTCACCCGGTTGGCCTGGCTGGTAGCCTAGTGTGTAACGTCATAACAATTGATTCGTACCTCCAGCCTGTGGAGCTCGTCCTTATATGTCTCTTCTGTTGTAGTTGCGTGCTTCAATGCCTCCGCCTTCATCTCTTCAGCCTGCATATCCAAAGCGGCAAAAGAAAATGAGAGTCCCAAGTTGGATGCTTTGATTGGCAGAAGTCTGAGACAATTATGGCTGCTCGATCCACTGCGAGCTGTCCGAACGAAGCACAAGAATACTGCCGTGAATCGTCTACGCCACTTGTGGCAATTTGACTACGATTGTGTACATATGTGTGATAATTTGGCTACGATTGCGCACATTTGTGCGCCTTCTTTGGTGTGCATATGTGAAATGTGAATGTAAGTTTTTCAGTACATAATCTGCTCAATCACAATAGACAAGAGTAACCAAAAAAACAAAAAAAAAATTGCCACATGGTGGGAAATACTTGCCTCTTCAGAAATTCATGAAAAACACTTTGAACTCCAGACAATATCAGGAGGCTGAGGGTGATAATGATGAGTATGGATAACGGGAGTAATGGTTGTCGTGGGAGGAAGACGAGCAGGAGGAGGAGGGGCGAGGAGGGAAGGGAAGGGTGAACCATCCACAGCACATCATGCAGAAGGATGCGAAAGGAAAAGGAAGAAGACATGAAAGATGGAGGAAGAGGGAGGAGGAGGACTAAGCGAAAGGATAAGGAGTAAAAGATGGCAAGAGAAGAAGAACAAGCATGACTAGAACAGGATGATGACTCGGAGAAGTAGAAGTATGGAAGAGGGTACTAAGGAGGAGGGTGGCAAGAAAAGAAGGACGACACGTGAGCGGAATGACGAGTCCCGACAGAAATTAATCAGATTTTCAGAATTAATGGGTTACAAGTTACAGCAAAGTTGATTACTAGGCTAACACCCTTGCCAATAACTAGATGGCCCACGCTGTTAATCTTTTTTTTTTTTTTTTTTTTTTTTTTTGAGAAAACACCCYCACCAGTGCTAGTGGTGCTGATAAGAGCAGACACCACTAGCACCTGGGGAGAGGCTCCATCTATTGGTGGGGAGCGTCACCTGCTGGAAAGCGGGTCCAGCRTCCCTTATACAGACTACAAAATGTGGTGTACTCCTGCCAGCATTGATTGCCCTGGGGACCAGGGGATTAACCGAGCAGGATTTTAGTAGGAAGGGGGAACCTCTTCACCCTGCGTTCGGCGCCAGATACTCAGCTTCACACTAGTTCCTCCCTCCCCCTGCCACCCATGCTGAGAACCGAGGCCCACGCTGTTAATCTAAAAACCGATCATCTGATTTTCAGGATGTTGGTAGCTATCTATAAGCTGATTACCAGGCTAATACCCTTGCATTCAGCTGGCCAACACTTGCTGGTAATCTGAGCTACAACCCGTAGATTTTCAGAAGCTGATTGTTTGCCTCCTAGAAGTTGATTACCTGGCTAATACCCTCACATTCAAGTAATCAATCTAATCTGACCATCTGCACCACTAGAGAGGGATTATGAGTTGACGAACAAGAACCTGGCAAGAGAAGCAGGTGCAGCTCCCCAGCAATAGATGGAGTGACCAAGCAGACCTACTAGGAGGGGATGCTCGTATCACCCACCGTATTAGGTTCTGCAGAGTCCTAAAAAAAAAAAAAAAAAAAAAAAAAAAAAAAGGATGAGCACCACTAAGCGAAAGGGTAAGCAGGAAGATGGCGACAGAAGAAGGACAAACATGGGCAGAGCGCGAGGATGACTTGGACAGGGTGAAGTTGGTGATCTAACTTAAAAGCGAAAAGGTAAGGAGGAAGAGGGAAAGAGAAGAAGGATGAGCATGACTATGACTAACAAAAGAGAGAAGAAGGATAAGCATGACCAGAGTTGGGAGGATGAGTTGAAGAGGGAGAACTTAGTGAAAAGGTAAGGAGAGAGATGGCAGGAGAAGAAGGATGAGCACAACTACCAAGAGCGGGATGACGAGTTCAAGAAGGAGAAACAAGCGAAAGCGTAGGGAGGAAGACGACTAGAGAGGAAGAACGATCATGACTAGAGCAGGACGATGCGTGGAAGAAGGAGAACTAGCCAAAAGCATAGGGAGGAAGACGGCAAGAGTATGGGGTGATGAGTTGAAGAAGGAGAACTAAGCAAAAGCATAGGGAGGAAGACGGCAAGAGAAGAATAACAAGCATGACTAGAGTGCGGGGTGATGAGTTGAAGAATACAAGCAGGAGGAAGACGAAGGAGGCAAATAAGATGGTAATGATGATGACCCGCAACGAGGAAGAAGACACGGAAAATGCAGAGGAGTATAACACAGACAAATAGAAGAGGGTTACAGACCAAGAAACTAGGAGCACCAGACAGTAGCTGAGTGAATGATTGAAATCTTTGTGTATGACAATACCACATGTGCAATGGTCACAATCTTCCCGTTGTGATCGATCCATGACGTGACATGAGAAGTTAAACTGGCCCTCCAAGGAGGCAATTTAGAAAGGTCTTTCTTTTTTCTTTGGGGGGGGGGGCGGTCATGCAGGCACATAGGCCTTTTTTCATTCGTGAAGGGGTTGTGCTTTGGGCCCCTTTTGGGGGGGGATCATGCAGGTGCATAGAACTCTTTTTTTCCTTTCATTTGTGAGGGGTTGTGCAGTGAACTTTTTTTTTTTTTTTTTTGCAGTAAGCTATCCTTAGCGATACCTCTCGATAACGTTGCTCGACATTGTGGCATTCCAAAATCTGCGCTTGCAACTTCTCCTCCAGTTTTCTCCTCTTGTCTTGTTCAGCTTCAAAGTTCTTCCTTAGGTCTGCAACCTCATACTCTTCTTGGCAATCGTCCAACACTTTGACAGGTGCCTGAACCTGGGCATCGCTTGTTTGCGCTCTGCTGGCAGCAGCATCCGATACCTGATACGATCGCAGCACCACATATTTGTTTCCGAGCAGAAAAAAAAAAGTCAATTCCGATGATATCTGTAGCCGTAGCGCCCATGATCACACGCTCTGCACGGCTTTGCTGTGCAAGCAGCAATCAGTAAGCCATACGCTATTATGTGTGAGTGTAATTGACTTGTGAGTGGCCGCTCAACCCTTTCCGTGTTTGGCATTTTTGTACTCTTGTTTCTTTCCTTTAAAAAGGGAGTGGCGCCTATGGGTAGCAGCATGCAAATGTTGTGTGCAGGTGGAGTCTTATTGCTAGTTTTCACTGTTGTCAAAATATTAAACTTAACTTGCCTAAACCAGAAAAGACGTGACTTGGGCTGATCCGCAAAGCAACACTGTGGGCTATATGGAAGGGACGGTGCAGTCAGGACGGTCAATACAACACCAAGAACCTGCATGACGAAGTTTTTTAACTTTTTTTTGTTAAGCAAGCTATATTCTTCTCTCATCTATCTCATCCTCTCGCTAATCTATGTATAGTATAGTACGGGGGAACACCAACCAACCCGGATCTCTCCCCAGCCCACGGGGTAGGTTCAAAGTTTCGAGGGATACCAAGGGCCTAATCGAGGTGGAAATCCTCTGTCAACGGCGAAAAGTCAAAAGGTGCAATTCAAAGCAACCCCCCGACACTGAATGTTTGATTAGGGCCCGGCGTCACCTTTTGTGATAATTTATATGCATTGTGCAATCATCCAGATTCCAATGTTTCGCAGAAAGGGTGAGAAATCACACACACACACACCATCAAATAGACATCGAAGTCCAAGTAAACGACACAAAGCCTTCATAGAGTGAGTAAAATCTAAGAGCTCGTGGAAACGACCGCTCGAGAATAACCCCGACTCTCCACCACTTCTTCTCCCTTGACTTCTCCTACCGACCACTTCCCAATAACCCCAACTCTCCGCCATTTCCAGTGTTTCACAGATAACCTCCAAACAGATACGGTTGGCGAATTTCAAAGGATTCTGGTTAGCTTGAGGAGAGGTGGTAGACAGACAGACATGATATAAGGCTGAGGTGGAGGGACTGGCATAACGCGGGCACAGCACAGGGCAGGCACAACATTCCAAGGGAGATACCCCAGAGCCTCATACGGTCATGATGGCGAGAACTGGAGTCAACAACAACAGATGAGGAAGCAATGGGTGGCAACGCCAATCTAACGCAGACACAGACTCTGAATGGCGGAGCCTTTCTTATGATTCTTGTGTCAAAGAGGGAAAAACTGGCAGGTTCAGTGTTCGAACCTGAGAGGAACTCATGAGAGAGGGAAGCTGACAGTTTAGGGGCCCTTGGGCCGAATGGAACGAAGGACGAGGGTGTTAATGATCTGACTTGCCAGGGGAAAAGGAGCCGCACTGACTCTCCCCAGAATGGATATGGACTCATTATGGAGCCAGGACCACAAGGACCTGTTTTCTTTTAAAAAAAAATAAAAAATCCCTCGTGTCATCACAAACTTATTGGTTAGAACTTAAAACTTGGAACATACCAAACAGATTCGGGCAGGACAACAAGGAAAAGTTCTTACATGGTTAATAACTAATAATAAGTAATAATAATAACTCTCCCTCAAACGCAGGGCTACCTACGGCCTACCTTTGGACAGGAACCTGACAAATCAAAACTTCATACCGAAAGTGGCATGGACACACGTGGTGCAATCAAAGGCCAGGGGAGGATTGGGAGTCCTCGACCCCGTCCTGCAAACCAAAGCCCTCCAAACTAAATGGGTGGTTAAAATGCCCACTCAACAAGGTCCGCCATGGACTTCTCTGGGCCTGCATCACATACGACAGCTGCCAAAAGCAGTGACGCCAACTAACATGCAAGGCCAGTTTCTCCCGAGCCGGCCTTGGAGGTGCGAGCCTCCTGTTGCTTGGTTTGACCAAGTGCTTTTCCACGTGCATTTCGGCAACGCTACCCTTGGTTGATTTACTCCATAATAAATACAGGAAGGAGACCGGATGCCCACTTCTTTGCGTCTTGCTTTCGTGTCCAGCATGTCTTGCTGCACTTTGTGCCTGCCTTCGGCCGGCTTCCGATATCGACGAAATACGCCTTAAACCTTGGTCAACACGTGGTAACACTCAACAGCACGAGCAACAGCATGATAGTCAGCAGGCACCTCGCTCGGACTACTGGATGTACCTCATCGAGATTTGGAGGGAGATCTTCCCACTGAAGTCCACAGGCCAACAAACAAGGAAGAGGTTTCACACCAGCCCCTCTTCTGCAACCAATGTCTGAAAGACCCGCCAGACACGCCGTAGACGCTGACGTCACAAGATGGCAGATGGATATCCTGGCTGAAGCGAGGTGTATGGCAAATCAAGCACATCTGGGGCCGCCGACACAACCGATGGAAAACACATGTGGAACTTAGAGAACCCCTCAAGGGATGCCACGATATGCAAGCCAAGCCAACTTTGGCGCCCTGCAGAACTCCATACCACCAGAATGGTTACCGCTGCTGCAAGCGCCATCGAAGTGGGCCTTTGGTGACTGGGTCCCATGGACTTGGGAGACCACACCCACAGTCGCCCTGTCATGCGACAAAGCGACAGGCCCGTCAGTAGAATGGGCACTGTGCACTATACATGACATCGACCACCCGCACCAGACTGTCAGTTCAGTAAACAAGACAGTACGAGCCAGAGTGGTAGCCAAACCGGCCATGCAAGATCGGAGTGGTGGAGGACAACTCCTACATAATCTATAGCCCTACAACTGAACTGCAGGATCTTGAATTTGATCCAGCAGAGTGGGCTTGGAAGACAGTAGGTATGACGTCCCAAACTGAGCGGCGAACAAGCATCTTGGACTAGACCACACACCTGGGTTACAGACTCAGGAGGAGGACAGCTAATGCTAACCACATTCTGGAACAAAGATGGGAAAAACACATCCCTGCGAGCATGCAACGACACACGACGCCCCCCTGGAAGATCCCACTCGCAATCAGAAATACTCGCATTCGAAGCATGCAATGGCTTATTTACCATCATGCCCTCCCAGGCAATAAGTGGCTCAGCAGGCGGCAGCCAGGCGGGATTTCGACGACCTCTGCGCAATATGTGTCGACGGCTTGCCAGAGGATCTGCCTCACTGCCTGATGTACTTCCAGAAAGCAAGACGATTGGGGGCCAGAGCAGAAGCACTCTGGGTGTCAGTCAACAACACGCCGCTGGCAGACTTCTCCATTGCCTGCCTCACAAGCCAGCCAGAGCCTGCGCTTACAGAGTAGCGGCAAAAGACCCTCTTCTGGAGACTGCGGCCGCTGACATTATGGGTAATATGGAAGAGACGCTGCATAGAAACCATAGACAGCCAAAATACAGCCAAAATACCCCGATGGCAGAACCGCGGGAGACTGTCACACAACTTCTAAGGATGGATTACCAGGCCGATTGGCATAAAGTGCTCAACCGTATCAAGAACGAGCTTGACAAGAAACAAGACATCATAAACAGACTCCACAAGGACAGTCTGGGATCTGGCAAAATGGGGAATATAGTAAGGGACAGTCCGAGACTCGTGTGGAGACTAACGGGAGGGGCCCAGAGAACACAGTGACTTGGAAGGTATTGCGTCACCGGGAGTGGTTCGGTCACAGGGACCTAGCCTCAGCCTCAACTCTAGCTAAGCAACAGCCTTATCTGGAGAAGAGACAGACCAGAATTAGACGATGTAGCAAACACACCAAGACAGCACGAATACACAGGCTTTCAGCTCGGAGAGAGGCCACTTCAGTACGAAGGGAGGATCCAGTATACTGCTCTAGTTGAGTGAGTAAAAGTCGACAGCCCAGAGGCTGAGAGGAGCAGGCTCGAGGTAAGACACTAGGGTTTAGGGTTTAGGGCAAGAACATACAGCTTAGAAGGCTGTCTTACACAGGGAAGTCCAGTTACTATACTTTCTTCCGAAATAGCAAGTAGGGATTTTGAAGCATGGGGACACTGGACCCGCTTTCCAGTAAGCGAAACTCGCTAATGCTGCCAAGATAACTCCAGGTCGGATTGTGAGGTCCGCGGCCTCGAGCCTTAATCTATGTTTTTCCTGTTATTAAAAAAAAAACTTTAAAAAGATCGTCCTTGCCGAAGTTGCCCTAAAAACATATTTTTTATTGAATTTATTCTCGTTTTTTGGGGGAAAAAAAAAGAACACCCGGTTGAAGTTTTAAGAGCTGTTAGACTCATTCCGATGCACGGTGGAGATTATTTGAAGAATAGGATGGTGGAGATTATGTGAAGAATAGGATGGTGGGGAGAGTTGTACGAATATACCTCCTAAATTTGCCCTTGATTGGTTATGGACCTTATGGTATGAAACTTCAATATGGAATCCGCTGAGAAGTTTTGTTGAGGAGATCAGAGTGGAGTCGTCGGCTTTCCTTTTTGGACAAGGGAAGCAGCGATTAGAAGGGCAATTGGAGCGTTAGACTAGCTGGTGATTACTCAAAGAAGGGATGAAGGGGGTTGGGAAGTATTATAGATCTGACTAATGACATCAAGGCATTGCTTAATGAATGGATCATTAAATGATTTAGCAGTGGATGAGAAGCCGTGGAATTCCAACTCCCCCCACCCTCCTCCCCTCCCCCACCGCCCCCCAACGCCTGGTAGAGATTGCAGGGGATTGATTGGAATACGGCACTGGACCCAGGATCTCCCGCTCACTCCTTATCGGCACTTCCCGCATGGAAACTCACCCTTTAGGAACACCATGACAGAATTTAGACTCGTTGACCCGTTCAGACCCATGCACCCCTCCAAAAAGGCCTACTCACGTGTTAAAAAAAAAAACCCATGTGAATCACACAGCCTTCTCCTGTATCGATTTTTTGATTTTTTTTCTGAAAGCTGAAATCCAGAAACTTCCGTTAGGCAGTATGTACTAGCCCAAGGACGACGCGGCCACTGTATATAAGTCCACGCTGGGCAAGTCAAGGGGACATT